ATTTCCGTGTTTATCAGCAGACGACAATAAGACACGTGCTCAATTATGGCCGTGACAACGCGACGTACCGAGATATCGCGTCGCGCCGGCCATGGTCGACTCGCCGTTGGGCCACGTTCGGTGCACGTGCGGCCGACCGTCGAGCGCAAAGCAAGTCGGCTGGCTCACATACACACGCCAGACCGACTGCACCTAGAAACGAGAGGCTCGAGTGCTTGGAGGTTGGATGGATCGTCGTCGTACGTGGAGCTGTGGACCGAGCAGCGTCGTGCGCACGTGAAAGAGACTCGAGGCCCAGCGCACGAGCGTCGCCGCGGAGAGCTGCCATCCGTTCTGGCTCGCCACGTGGACACTCGGTGCGTCGCACACCCAGTCTCCGCAGAGCCACGACCGCGCACGCATCGAGCCGAGAACGCGGTGCTCTGGCCACACGCTCTGCGCGGCCTCGGCGCTCTAGACACCAATCTCAAAACGCAACATTCAAACCGCGACATTCAAGGCAAGATGTTACCAGCGCGACTTCGCGGAAATGGGCCACGCACGCTTGGTAGCCAAACACAAAAAAGCTCTCGGTCAAGAGCCGGCGCGTCATCTCGGTCGAGAGACTCGGGAGGGACGCGAGAGCCTCGAGCGCGATTTGCGCCACCGACGTCTCGTGCTGCTTGGCCAGGAACGCCTCCGACACGCTATGCAACAGCTGCACGCAGTCGCTGTAGGCGCGGGCGAGGTCGGTGCGCTGGAGAATGCAGTCGCGGTGCGAGCGCACCACAGCCTCGTACTGCCTCCGATTGTGCGGGTGCAAGAGGTGGACCAGCCAGTCGACAAGGACACGGCTCGTGCGGCCCGTGGTCTGTGCAAGATCGGATCAAGAAGAACCCTACCCGCAGTCGCAGATGGATCGCAGATAGATACCTGGTTGCTGCTGCAGGATTGCACGAGCAGCTGGTGCATCGCGCAAGATACCGGTACTGGCGACGCGTGCAACAGGTACTGCACGAGCTTGTGCTGGGACGCGGCTGAGACGGTCTCGACCTGATCCACGTACAAAAGAAGCAGACCCAAGTGGTAGGCCATGCGTTGCGTGCGACTCGACACGAGCGCCGTCGACGTCTCGTGCTCGGGTGCCGGCATCACCACCGCGTCGTCGCACGGCGCACTACTACTGCGGTACGTGGCGATCGTAAAGCCGGGCGACGTCGCCTTGGCCACGAGCCGCCACATCCCACGCGGCGTCATCTCAAAGACGTACGCCTAGATCTATCATGGATCATGACGCATCGATGGTACAAACAGACCGTCACGTGGTGGCGACAGTCGCGGATCGCTTGGCTGCGGCTGCTCTTCCAGCCGTACGTCCAGCCGTCGGCGAGGTCGACATTGAAGCTGCTCGCGAGCACATGCTGCGTCTGCATCAGGAACCATCGCTGCCGTACGATCCTATACGACTACCTCGGAGACGACTTCTTGGTGGCCGGCGTGCCACGTGGCGGCGGCGCTGTGGAGCGAGGTCGCCGACAGCGGCGGCGTCTCAAAGCCAAGGTCCCAGTCGGGCGCGTGCGCGGGCGCAATGCGCAGCAGCGACGCGTACGTGCCTGTCACGCGCGCCGCGTACGTCGTCTGGAGCACGAGCGGCGCGCCGCAGTAGCGGTAGTGGGCGTGGCGCGGGCAGCAGTGCGGAAAGCATCTAATGGAGCTCGCCACGGGGCCGCAGACGATGTCGTTGGTCGTACCGCAGCACCTAGCAGCAGCAAGGAGGTGGTGGGCGACGTCGTTGCAGACGGACGGTACCTTGACTTTTTGGGCCTTTTGATACCTACATTTGGGGCAATGTGAGAGCTGATGGGCCGCATGACGCACCGCGTGTAGTGAGGCTCAAACACCGCGTCGTGCTCGCAGTACTTGACGTGGAAGGCGCAGTCGACCGCGGCCATCGACCCTCTCTCACTGGTGTGTAAAAAACGCGATTCCCACAGGTTAAAGATGAGGGTGTCAGCACATCCCAACTTAAACCTAACCTACCTATCTCGAGCGAATCAGGTCGACAGTGTCAGGTCGACAGCACTGGGTCGAGAGTGTCCTCATGTGCAATGTCGTCATAAGACTCGACCAACGCGCGACTGGAACGGGTCTGGAACCAGTCGAGCCATCGCCAGTTATCAAGTGACTTGACTGTTTCAGACGTTCCAAGATAGCCAGATTAGCACATCGTTGCACCACGTCGCAGAGCTACGTCGCAGCATTCAGCCGCGTGGACTACATCGCGTGACATCCTCATCATGGTATGGTTGGCAACTGCAAGCGCAACCAGCGATGGTAGAGCCATCCACGAGGACATTCTCTGTGCAAGTGGCTCGAGGACCAGCCATGGGTGACAACAGACGTCGCCAGAGGCCATATGATGCAACCTTGGTCCGGCGTCGATGCTGAGTCTATGATCCGAGACGCGGCAACAGCGCCGGCAACCAAAGCCGTTTAACGAAAGGGTGCCATAAGTCCCCATAGCTCTCTGCAGGAGTGTCTTGGTCGCCTTTGGTCCAACGCGGTCGTTTTCTCAAAGTTCAAGTTCGTCCAGCAACGTTAAGGTAGCCTACTAACAAGGCGGGCTCCAACCAGTCGTGCGCCGTGAGCTACACGCAGCAGCCGAGGCGAAGGAGACCATACAACTACGCGCTCCACCACTCTGCGACACATCTCTCGTCATCGGTCAAAGGATATTGTCGAGTGCGTCGACAAGAAAACCCGGTCGGAGGAGGACGTGGTCTCAGACGTGACCAAGGGAAGAAATCAATCCCTTGGCCCAAACCCACGCAAGACGTGGTGGTTGCGACGGGCTCGGTGACGCACCTCGCGTTATCCTTGGTGAAACCGAAGAGGACCAGCGCCACCTCTAAATTTCAGTATACAGCCGAAATGCCCTCTGATTCGTCCACTCCCGACAGTAAGCCGATGGCCGCGGTCGACTGCGCCTTCCACGTCAAGTACTGCGAGCACGACGCGGTCTTTGAGCCTCACTACACACGGTGCGTCATGCGGCCCATCAGCTCTCACATTGCACCAAATGTAGGTATCAAAAGGCCCAAAAAGTCAAGGTACCGTCCGTCTGCGACGGCGTCGCCCACCACCTCCTTGCTGCTGCTAGGTGCTGCGGTACGCCCAACGACATCGTCTGCGGCCCCGTGGCGAGCTCCATTAGATGCTTTCCGCACTGCTGCCCGCGCCACGCCCACTACCGCTACTGCGGCGCGCCGCTCGTGCTCCAGACGACGTACGCGTCGCGCGTGACGGGCACGTACGCGTCGCTGCTGCGCATTGCGCCCGCGCATGCGCCCGACTGGGACCTTGGCTTTGAGACGCCGCCGCTGTCGGCGACCTCGCTCCACAACGCCGCCACCACGTGGCACGCCGGCCACCAAGAAGTCGTCTCCGAGGTAGTCGTATAGGATCGTACGGCAGCGATGATTCCTGATGCAGACGTAGAATGTGCTTGCAAGCAGCTTCAATGTCGACCTCGCCGACGGCTGGACGTACGGCTGGAAGAGCAGCCGCAGCCAAGCGATCCGCGACGTTCGCCACCACGTGACGGTCTGTTTATACCATCGATGCACCATGATCCATGATCGACGACCTAGGCATATGTCTTTGAGGTGACGTCGCGTGGGATGTGGCGGCTCGTGGCCAAGGCGACGTCGCCCGGCTTTACGATCGCCACGTACCGCAGTAGTAGTGCGCCGCGCGACGACGCGGTGTTGGTGCCGGCACCCGAGCACGAGACGTCGACGGCGCTCGTGTCGAGTCGCACGCAACGCATGGCCTACCACTTGGGTCTGCTTCTTTTGTACGTGGATCAGGTCGAGACCGTCTCGGCCGCATTCCAGCAGAAGCTCGTGCAGTACCTGTTGCACCCGTCGCCAGTACCGGTATCTTCTTGCGCGATGCACCAGCTGCTCGTGCAATCCTCCTGCAGCAACAACCAGGTATGACAGATCCATCTGCGACTGCGGGTAGGGTTCTTCTTGATCCGATCTTGCACAGACCACGGGCCGCACGAGCCGTGTCCTTGTCGACTGGCTGGTCCACCTCTTGCACCCGCACAATCGGACGCAGTACGAGGCGGTGGTGCGCTCGCACCGCGACTGCATTCTCCAGCGCTCCGACCTCGCTCGCGCCTACAGCGACTGCGTGCAGCTGTTGCATAGCGTGTCGGAGGCGTTCCTGGCCAAGCAGCACGAGACGTCGGTGGCGCAAATCGCGCTCGAAGCTCTCGCGTCCCTCCCGAGTCTCTCGACCGAGATGACGCGCCGGCTCTTGACCGAGAGCTTCTTTATGTTTGGCTACCAAGCGTGCGTGGCCCATTTCCGCGAAGTCGCGCTGGTACCTTGCCTTTGACTGTTGCGTTTGGAGGTTTGCGATTTGAGATTGGTGTCTAGAGCGCCGAGGCCGCGCAGAGCGTGTGGCCAGAGCACCGCGTTCTGGGCTCGATGCGTGCGCGGTCGTGGCTCTGCGGGCACTGGGTGTGCGATGCACCGAGTGTCCACGTGGCGAGCCAGAACGGATGGCAGCTCTCCGCGGCGACGCTCGTGCGCTGGGCCTCGAGTCTCTTCCACGTGCGCACGACGCTGCTCGGGCCACAGCTCCACGTACGACGACGATGATCCAACCTCCAAGCACTCGAGCCTCTCGTTTCTAGGTGCAGTCGGTCTGGCGTGTGTATGTGAGCCAGCCGACTTGCTTTGTGCTCGACGGTCGGCCGCACGTGCACCGAACGTGGCCCAACGGCGAGTCGACCATGGCCGGCGCGACCCGATATCTCGGTACGTCGCGTCGTCACATGTGAGGACGTTTGTTGATGCAACGCAAATGGCAGAGGGCGACTATGTCGGTGGGCTTGGTCCCGACGCGATCGACCTGCGCTGCTACACGCTCGATGTCGTCAACCAGACGAGCTACTGCGCGACGCTGCGGGTGACGACAGAGGAAGAGACGAGACTGCTGTGTCGTGTGGAGCTCTACCAGCTGCGCGTCGCGGCGGCGGCGGACGTGGCCGCGTGGCCGGCCCATAAACGCATTGCGCTCTGGGACAACGAGACGCCAGCGCTCGTGTTCTCGGGCGACTGGAGCTATGCACGAGCGGCCGAGACCAGTTGACAAGGCGATCCAAGTCTCGGTGCACCCGACATGCGTCTGCATTGAAACCAACCATGCCGGCCGCCGTGTGGTATAAGAGCAACTAAGCTATTGCGTCTTGCTGTTGTACACCGCCATAAGATCTTGGCGCGAGCACACGTGTGTTAAGGACGGAAACGATTGCGACTTTAGAACAGTTATAGAAGGAGCCTATAACGAGGTGTCCTCTAAGGCTGCCAGCCTCCGTGGCCAACGACAGCGTACGAGTCTATGGCATCTCGTCTAGTCAAGACGAGTCATCAATGCGTGGTGTGGTAGTGTTGATTAGTTGTTTAGATTGGGTCCCAGCACTGTGGGATTTTATTGGTCGACGACCCGCGGGATACTTCAAGAATGCTGGTCTACGACAACGGACACCAGATGTCCTCTCGGAGTGTGGGCTATTGGTTCTCGATTGCATTAGAACAGAGCCTAAAACAATGTACAGCGAGAGACGAGCCTTTGAATTAAGACAGTTTGATGCTACAAAGTGGATGTCGGTGGCGGAGCGAGCGTTGCTTGGAGGTAGTCGAGCGTCGTACTCCCCGCAATCACGCCGTAATCCTGTACACAACAATGTGACAGAAAGAAAAGACAAGTTGTCGTACGTCGAGGACGCGCATGATGCGGTCGGCGGCTTCGTACCGGTCCTTGGCAACGTCAGCAACGATCTTCATGTGGAGCGATGGTTCCAGGCGTGACGCGGCAACCAGATCTAGACGGATGGGTTCGTTGTTTTCACAATCTAGAACCATATTGACGGACCCTTTTCTCGCTGGATCTCAAGCCGCTGCTGCTCTTCGAGGACGGCCAAGAGGTGCTTGCCGCGGCGCCGAAGGACGTCCGACTCTCGCGCTTGCACAAAGTTCCTACAGCATCGTAGAGTACACGCTGAAGGTATACGACTGGACGGTCGGTACCAGTGCTTTCGGTCGACACGACTAGGCTGCTTGGGCGGTGTGCGATCGCAAAAGTAGGGTAACACTCCCTATACCGCCCTCTAGGTAAGCATCCTCGTCGGTGGAGCAGCTACAGGTGTGCGCTTGGCGACTAAAGGGTCCTTGGGCTTGTTCAAAAAATACGCGGGTGTCTCGGAAGCGACACTCGGCGGGTAGAAGCGACTGGGTATGGCCTTGGACGGAGCGTCAAACACCCGTTGCGGGAGCTGTCGACCAAGCTGTGTCTCAACGGCCGTCATCAAGATCTACGTCTGGTCATCTCGACGCCCTTCGTGGTTGCATTGGATACGATTACCTGCAGGACTTGCCGAAGCGACGACGCTGCGGCCTGGGAGAATGCCACGTGGGGGGGTGGCCCCCCGGTGGCCTTGCCCGGACGTGGCAGCTTTGTCGCGCGAGCTTTGAAGATGCTGCGGTAATATTGAATTGTCTCGTCGGCAGAGGCGCCAGACGCGCGGTGCGCAGGGTCGACGACGCCCCAATACATGATTGGCGCCGGCACCTGCTTGGGGTCCTCATCCTTCAACATGCTGCCGTCGCCCAAAATAGGCATCCATTGGATTCGGCATTTTATTTTCGGCACTTCTTGCAATTTGAAAGCAAGTAAAATAAAGTAACATTATTTAGGATTTAAAGCAGCCTTTGCAGTGTATCTGAAATAGTGTCAAACGACCATGCCAGGAGCGCCGGCCGCGGACGCCTTGCCCCAGGCCGTCGACGCTGTCGAGCAGGCGCTGCGGGAGCTTCGTCGCCACGCCCTCGATGAAAGCCAAGCCCAGCAGCTGGCGACGATGGAGCTCGCTGCGTCGGCGTTGAAAGCGTCGCTCGCTGCAAAGCATCCTACGACGACGACGACATGTCGGTCGCTGGCCGAGGGCGCCGAGAAGAAGAGCTACAAGCGCAAGCACCGAACAGCGCAAGAGACGAGCAGCATGTCGCTCGAGCGTCAGAACGAGTTTGCAGACGCGGCGCGCGTCTTCCATGGTCTGCATCCGGAACTGCCCTACACGCTCTTCCATCGACGTTCGAAGTGCCAGTGTCGGCGCCATGGCCGCCATATCTGCAAGGCAGGACCCTCCGCGTCTGCGAATTTCGCCAGCTGTACCGGTACAAGAAGCTTGACGCTGGCATCGTCGCGGCCATGGACGCCATTGCGTTTGTATGGGATCTCTCGGACCACCAGTGGGAGACCAAGGTCGCTGCGATCGCTACGTTCCAGCGCCTCCACGGCCACCTCGCCGTGCCCACGGGCTTTGTTGTGCCCGAGAACGACCCGCAGTGGCACGTCGACCACCACGGGCTCCGGCTCGGGCGGCTTGTGGTCGCGCTTCGGACGCGCGCCGACAAGCTGTCGCCGGCCAAGCGGCAGCAGCTGCAGGCGCTCGGCTTCATCTGGACGGTGCAGGCGAGCATCTCGTGGCAGGACAAGATGGAGGCGCTCTCGATCTTCCGGCACCTCCATGGGCACGTGAATGTCCCTCAGAAATTCGAAGTCCCGGCCAAAGACTTGGCGTGGCCCAAGCGGCTGTGGCACATGAAGCTTGGCGTCGTCGTCAGCACGTTGCGAACGCGTCGGCCCAAGCTGCCGCCGACGCGGATCGCCGAGCTCGATGGCATGGGGTTCCTCTGGACCATGTATAAAAACAAGGTTGTCAAGACTTAAAGATAAATACTGCTCCCGCCCGTGCTACTTCGGGGGGCCAAAATGGCCTGCGAGAAGACGCTTTCGCGCGCCAGAAGCACGAGCTCGGACGCGCGCTGTTGCGACTCGACAAACGCGCGGATGGTGTCGTAGGGCGGATCGATGACCGCGGTCATCATGACGCTTTGCCGCTTCGAGTGGCGGCTGCCGCACCACCGGCCCGTCGCATTCGCATGCTGCACGCCGCAGAGACTGAAAAAGGCGGCGGCGGTGACCACCACCAATACGAACGTAGCGTCGTCGCTCCATGCTTGAAGGGGTGGCACGAACGCGAGGGACGCGGCGGCCGCGCAGCAGAGGATCGCGAGGCCGTAACTGTAGAGCGACACATACGTGGCAGCACCAAAGAGGTCGTAGAGAAACGCTGGGAAAAGCCCGAGAAAGGCCGCATCCAAAGTGACTTGGCACACGAGCAGCCATGGAGATGAGATGGGGACGACGATCGCCAGTAGCGTCTGCAGGAAAGCGAGCAAGAGGGCAAACCAGTGCCGGCGCCACGCAGGCGACCGGCCGCACGGGATGTCCGAGACGAAGGCAACGAGGAGCGGGAGAGATACGAGCAGCACCGTCGCGACAAGAGCAATCGCTTCCGTAGCATGGCAGGTCGTCAAGAGCTCGCGCGAGAGGATCGCTGTGACGGCCGCTTTGAGGGCCAAGGCCACAGTGAGGCAGACAAAGCTGCGCGAACAGACCGCGTCGCGCCACGTCGAGAGCACGATCGGTGTGCCATCTTCAATACTCGATGCAAAGTCGGGCGGCGGCGTGCGGACGGCGACTGCAAGCAGCAGCAGCAGACCCGTCGCGGTGCCCCCGACACCGACTGTCCACGCCGCCTCGTCGTCGTCGCTACGACAGCGTGATGAGATCGCGTCCATGAGAACGGTCGCGTACGTTGGTGGCGTCAGAAGCACATGGCATGGTAGACTGTGCATCGCGATGGCGCCGCCAATGACGCTGGTGGCGAGCAGCAGTGATGTCATCGTGGCGCGACAGTGCGGGTACCACAGCTACATGCGCATATCATGAGTCGGGTGCACTTGATATTTCACACACAACCCACCTGCAGCGTCAAGGACACGGCGAGGTGGCTGAGGCCGACGCCGGCGCCGACGCAGACGCCGTAGACGAGATGCAGCGATGGGGCAGGAGGCAGAGGTGCCCGAGGAAGATGCACGTGCTCCCGA